GGAAAGCACAGGATTGTGGGATATCAAAGGCAGCGAAGGATACATCTATGCTGCCTTCAAAATTTGATCAGAAGAAGGTACCTCCGGAGACAGGAAGTGAAGCAGAATTTGGATTCAGACGTGCCTTGATGCCATGCTGCCTCCGAAGGCAGCATTTTAGAGTTTTCGGACGCAGCCATTGATTTACGTCTTAAATATGTCCAGCATTTATCGGTTTGTGCGTCAGTAATAATGGTCCGTGGGGAAACACAAGTGTTCCATGTGTAGTTACAGTAAATGGACTAAACAAATTTGCCTCGATGATTTTTTGTATTCGAGTTACTCGAGGAATCGTTTCATCCCTAATCCTATGTAAACAAGTAATTGTTAAGTATGATGTTACTTTATTGCACCAACTTTGCATAGATGATAGCACAAAAGACCAGTTTGATTTGAAGACATTGTGCTTATAACTATTTTTCAGTAGAATGTACATTGCCTACTACTACTACTACTACTAATACTAAAATGAAACAAACATTTTTTAAGGAATAATCACAAAACATTTCTTCAATGTTTTAATTTTAATAGTAAATCCCCTTTGTTTGCTTAATTTTCAATAATTAAAAGATAAATGATAAATTAAATTAATGTTTTATGCCTTCATTTGATAACCAGAAAAATGTAAATAAAAAATATAAAAAAAAATAAAAATCACAAGGCTACTTTAAGAAAAACAAAATTAATAAATGAAGTTGTTTTATGCATTCTAATAATTAGACATGCTAAAACACAGAATTTGGTAACAATAAAAAATATAAATAATAATGCCTCGCTGCTGTATGAGGCAATGACTTTGCAGGCAGAGTTTTTGCACAAAGGCACCTCATGAAACTGATTTCGGACAGGCTTCTGAGGCAGCGTAACAGTTTTTGTGATAACTAAACAAATATTTAATTACTATAATACTGATTTCTCGCTAGAAATAACATCAAAAGTGCAAAAAGTTAGTCAGAAATATACATTTACATACAAACTGACCACCAAACGCAACTTTCAGATGCCATCTTTATTTTTTAGCTCAACCGTCACGGAATGGAAAGCACAGGATTGTGGGATATCAAAGGCAGCGAAAAATACATCTATGCTGCCTTCAAAATTCGATCAGAAGAAGGTACCTCCGGAGACAGGAAGTGAAGCAGAATTTGGATTCAGACGTGCCTTGATGCCATGCTGCCTCCGAAGGCAGCATTTTAGAGTTTTCGGACGCAGCCATTGATTTACGTCTTAAATATGTCCAGCATTTATCGGTTTGTGCGTCAGTAATAATGGTCCGTGGGGAAACACAAGTGTTCCATGTGTAGTTACAGTAAATGGACTAAACAAATTTGCCTCGATGATTTTTTGTATTCGAGTTACTCGAGGAATCGTTTCATCCCTAATCCTATGTAAACAAGTAATTGTTAAGTATGATGTTACTTTATTGCACCAACTTTGCATAGATGATAGCACAAAAGACCAGTCCACAAAAATAAATATATAAGCAAACAAACAAATAAAAAAACCTTATGAGTGAGCATGACCCGGGACTCTGGTTTCCAATGTTCAAACCAAAACTACACCCTTGTGCTAGAATAAATTAAAAGACTTTTATTTATTTTTTATTTGATTCCTCAGTGTTTGCTAAACGTTTTGTGATTTATTAGTCTGTATATAATACAGCATGTGGTAAGATGCCTCATCTTATTCATTTTTGTTAATAAACGTTTTGTAAGCTTGTTTGTCATTGTATCTTACCGTTTTATTGTTGTTGTGCTTTTTATTTAAGAATAACAATGAATCCATCTTTTGTTTTAGTCTTAAAAAGTGAAAGGTATAGATGTAAGCAAAACAGACGATTATCTTTTCTTGTAAATCGTGACAACAAGATTGTAAATTCAAAAGCGAAAGCAAAAGAGCGACCAGTGGGAAGAATGCGTCTGGAGCCCTGTATGGTTATAAAAACATATCACCAGGTCCCTGCTGACTCCCCCCACTAGTAGCCTATATTATCATATTCATGAATTCTACAGATATGCATTGCTAAGCATATAGGGAGCAGTGAATACTACACAGGGACCCTGTGAATTGGAACGCAGCTCCAGTTACCTCCAAGATGCTCACGTCCTCCTCTTCTTCATCGTCCTTGACCACGACAGGGACATTTGGTACGAATCTGACAGGTTCATCATCAGAATCCGACGATGAAGATATGGTTATGTAGGGCGTCCTCGTCCTAACTCTTTTAGCTAACAAAATAACACAACAAAAGAGTCATGACACCCAGAATAATACGATTACTTCTCATAAAGATGAAAGTAATGCCAAAATAAAGCCTTGGTGTTAGTACCTCGACTGCGATGGGTGTTGAAACTAGCCAGGTGGATGACATCATCATCACTGGACCCGTCAGCCATGATAAGACACACAGACTCCCCGAGTCGTCCACCGTCTCTCTCTCACACAAACACCCATGCACACACACAGGAACCTGAAATGAGACAAGCATAACCGCACATGCATGACATGGTGTATCCATCATGTTTATGACATAAATACAGTCATAGTTTCTTGATGCACTTAGATTGGATACATCTGTGCATGTGCTCGTAAGATTTCATTTCCCATTTCCCACGAAATGATGTAGATTCCAAACATGACTGACATTTTTAAAGCAGACAAGTATGACAGATTCAAAACATTATATTCATGACCATTATTCAGCTTGAGTTCATATACAACACACACAAAAAGAGAGTTAAGAGAGTTAATGTCCTTGAGGATTGAGTGCATTTATATTTAAATGAGTGTTGTCAATTAGTATCTCTGTGTGCACTGCAGAGACTTAAGTGTGTTTTGTTTATCTATGATGATTCAAATCAAGGCGCCTATGACACCCAAACTTGCTGTCTAAATAGTCTGCTCACTAGGTTTTGAAACACAGTAGTCTTAAAAAGTGAAAGGTATAGATGTAAGCAAAACAGACGATTATCTTTTCTTGTAAATCGTGACAACAAGATTGTAAATTCAAAAGCGAAAGCAAAAGAGCGACCAGTGGGAAGAATGCGTCTGGAGCCCTGTATGGTTATAAAAACATATCACCAGGTCCCTGCTGACTCCCCCCACTAGTAGCCTATATTATCATATTCATGAATTCTACAGATATGCATTGCTAAGCATATAGGGAGCAGTGAATACTACACAGGGACCCTGTGAATTGGAACGCAGCTCCAGTTACCTCCAAGATGCTCACGTCCTCCTCTTCTTCATCGTCCTTGACCACGACAGGGACATTTGGTACGAATCTGACAGGTTCATCATCAGAATCCGACGATGAAGATATGGTTATGTAGGGCGTCCTCGTCCTAACTCTTTTAGCTAACAAAATAACACAACAAAAGAGTCATGACACCCAGAATAATATGATTACTTCTCATAAAGATGAAAGTAATGCCAAAATAAAGCCTTGGTGTTAGTACCTCGACTGCGATGGGTGTTGAAACTAGCCAGGTGGATGACATCATCATCACTGGACCCGTCAGCCATGATAAGACACACAGACTCCCCGAGTCGTCCACCGTCTCTCTCTCACACAAACACCCATGCACACACACAGGAACCTGAAATGAGACAAGCATAACCGCACATGCATGACATGGTGTATCCATCATGTTTATGACATAAATACAGTCATAGTTTCTTGATGCACTTAGATTGGATACATCTGTGCATGTGCTCGTAAGATTTCATTTCCCATTTCCCACGAAATGATGTAGATTCCAAACATGACTGACATTTTTAAAGCAGACAAGTATGACAGATTCAAAACATTATATTCATGACCATTATTCAGCTTGAGTTCATATACAACACACACAAAAAGAGAGTTAAGAGAGTTAATGTCCTTGAGGATTGAGTGCATTTATATTTAAATGAGTGTTGTCAATTAGTATCTCTGTGTGCACTGCAGAGACTTAAGCGTGTTTTGTTTATCTATGATGATTCAAATCAAGGCGCCTATGACACCCAAACTTGCTGTCTAAATAGTCTGCTCACTAGGTTTTGAAACACAGCCTGTTAATTCCAGCAGATTGGCAGAACAGACTAGCTGATCTCGCATAGTAGTGCTGAGAAAGCCTGTTGATGTTATGATCATTCGCTTTCCTTTGTCGTTTATAACATGTGGACATTGCCAGAGAAGTAAAACATACAGTAGGGTAAAAGAAACAAACAAATATGTACTCGCTAAAGTCCCTAGCCAGTCTCAGCTAGCCGTTTGGCGTTAACCCTCCGCGCCAGCTGATATCACTTAAACAACACAGATTTTCATTCTCAGCCGGGTATTTCATCCTAACTTAATGGCGATGACAAACGAACTCTAATAAGACTACAACACACGAAGACTGCTTAATAAACTGCACGTACCTCTCAGTCACAATATCCAGCACATCGAAAGCGTTTGATCGCCGGATCTCGAAACAAACGGCCAAAACAAGCCAGAGTGTGACGTCAGACGCACATGCGTCTTGCTGTAGGCGGAGCCGCGGAGGATCATGAGAGTTGTAGTTCTTCTCCGTTGTTAGTTTCTGGGTGTCCTCTAGGTGTCTCCGTTTTCCTTCTTACAGTTTTACAATCACTTTGATGTCATTTTTCAAAACTTTAGATTCAAATCTCTCAACCGACTGTCATGTTTTTCAACACGCCAGACTTTTCCCCCAATTGTTTGGATACACATAAACCTAAGAAAATTAGTGCATTGAAAGTCATTACAACTAAACAAAGTATTTCCATTTCAAAATGCAATTCACAAATTTTGTCTGAGATGACTGTCTATTCATTTCATTACGATGAAATAACTATTAGCTGAAGTAACTGTAGACTGACTGAAATTATTCTTAATTCATTGTTTTACGGAAAGCGACTGACAATATTCCATGTTTAGATAGGCCTAATGATTCTCAGGATAATAGCCTATGATCCATTGACATCAATTACTGTGCAACATTTGGACTACATTATCTATGGATGTAATATTTAATCATCATTATTTTCCATACACTGTTTCTATGGTCCCATGTCCCACTTTTCCAAGTTTTCTGTTCTGACATGGTTGCATGTAGGCCTTTGTAATGTAAACCTGTATCCAAATTCACAAGACAGGGTTGGTGAAAATATAGAAATACAGTTATCAGTCCTTCTTTTTTTTTTTAAAGACAGGCAAGAAACACCACATTTAACGTTTTACTGTACGGTACGGTACTGTATTTATTTATTTATTTATTTATTTTGCTATACTTTACTGCGGGATATATTATATTGCGGGACATGTCTTCCCTATAATGTTTATGGTGATTTGCAGACAAATCTTTATCACTATCTTTGTCTCTAAACAGACAGACAGAAAGACAAATAGACAGATAAATCCCCTTTTTCAAGACAATCTCATATGAGTGAAAGCTTTAAAATCACAAGGGGGTATCACTGACATTTTAGCATAGAATAATTTTTTTTTAAATATCTTGAGTTTGTATTAACCACAGACATTTAACCAAAAACCCATTCAAAAACCCATGGACTTAAGGACCATGGAACTGGAAAATGCTAACTTGTTTCCAGGTTATTGCCTACAAAAAATGCCATCCCTGCAGCATAAGATCCTAAAAAATATATACATATAAATAAAAATAAAAAAAAGGAGAAGAATTGTCTATTTTAAATTGATGGTGACTTTAAAGAGGCACATTTATGCACTTGGTCTCATATCTTAAATATACTGACCGAAAATTTTCGATAAACTGTGTCCAAAGACTAAGAAAGAAATTACCTATCAGCCTCTCCAACAAAGTAGTCTTTATTCTGAATGGCACAGATCCAAGTCAAACAAAGTGACCGTCCTTAGCTCCATTTCATGAACATGGAAAATATGCTGGCCCTGGGAGAGATGAACAGTGGGCAATTATGCTTAGACTCCCTTAGGATGCAGCAGGCTCTCCCGCAAAAGGTGATGACTAAAATGATGAAGACATTTCAAAGTAGGTCAGTGGCAGTGGCGGCTCGTCGGGGGAGGCAGGGGAGGCACAGCTTCCCCATAATTTTGAGGTGAAAATGGGAGGAGGACGATTTAATGTTAATAAAGTTCACAATTCATTTCAGTTCATGTCTCAGAATGTGTATTTTTTGGTGTAAGTTTAAAAGCATGCATCGGATGGCCATGACTGGCGCCAAATGGAAGACCGAACTTGAAATCTAAACATGGGATCTTACCAACGTAAACTGCAACCACAGTCATTACTTCTCTAACTCAAAGCGAGGAATGTAGCACCTGCGGGCTTCAACTCGTGTGCCATATGCTAAAAGCTGTTGTATCCTCATTAAAAAACATTTTCCGTTCCAGAATGAATGCTTCATCTGCAAATGACTATACAAACATATCAGCTATTCATAAAAATTCTCATAAATGCTGGTTTCACCCCGTCAGTCAAGTTCAGACATTACCAGCATCGTAGCAGGAGAATCTATTCAAATGTCAATCATTAAAATCATACCCCTGCCAAGCCACTAAAATGCTAGCCAACAGATGTATTAGCTAACAGATGGGATCTCCTAAATCAGTCTTTCATCAAAATAAGAAATAATGTAGATTTCCTCTATAGTGCACTAGAGTTTTTTTTCTGTCCAAAAGGTAAAAATATCTTTAATAATCATATACTGTTTAAAAGAGTTTGTGAATGTTCACTTAAAATACAAAATGAGGACACCTCAAGGTTTTGCCGTTTAAAAGAGATTTCTGAGCTAAGTCACAATAAATCAAATTGTTACAGAATATTGCTGTTGTGCATTGATTAAAAAGTGTTAACATTTGTTAACAGAGAACCTTTTTAGGTCTGGCTCACTGTAGTGATAGTATATTGCAAAACCGCATTTGAAATCCCCCCAGAAAATATTAACCCACCATCAATAGATGATTAAATGCATTTTAAATACAACTCCAACAGAATATACAATTTCCTGTATCTGTCATGTATTTATTCTTTTTAAATTACTAAAACAAATAAAAACTAATAAATGTAAAAAAGACCTCTTCATGAAATATCAGTATTGTAGGATTTTTTAAAATTAAATTTACATATGTCTCTCTTTCATAAAAGGGTCATCTTTTCATCAACATATTTTATACAATGCATAAAAAACTTTGAGGCTTTTGCTGTCAGTTACTTGTTTTCCTTCAGCTCCAGATGTAACCAAAAGTATATTTCTGTGGGAAATATATTGCTTGGTATGACATATAAATTGTTTACAAGAAAGCGCAGCTTCCCTGAACAGTAGCCATGATATTTATTACTCCATTGCACAACTGAAGGCGAGTCAAGAAGAAGTACAAAAAGCATTGACCAGGATAACAGTAGCCAAATAAATGGTTTCAATTCTTCAACATAAAATAGAACAGCCAGTACAGCGTGTGCATGTGAACAATATCTTGTTTGGCT